TCCAAAGGCCCCCAGGGCCCAAAGTGGCCCCTGCTGGGGCCATTCTCCAGTCAGTGCCCATCTGCTCCTGGGGAAGGGCAGAGCCTAAGTCTCTTGAACCTGGAACAGGGACCACAGACACACAAACCACAGAAAGGCAAGGGGTTCTCCCTCCCCTGCTGCCAGTGCTTTTCACGTGACCCCCTAAGAACTCTCTCATTGACCCCGTGACCCTGGCCATGGCCGCTGCTCTCAGCTGAGTGCTCCTTCCTGGTCCATCAGCTCCCCAGGCCACGATGCAGCTAATTGCTCCATGAGCGGCATGGTCCCCGTGACTTTCTTGATGGCCCCCTGCTCAGGCCAGGAGGAGAGGCAGGCGGGCCAGCCTCCTCTCCTAGCCCCAGAACTGCACAGGCAGGCCTGGCCAGAGAGGGAGACACGTCATCAGAGGTGCAGTGCCACTGTGGCTGGGAGGGGCTAACATCTCTGCCCTCACCCGGTGCCCTCCCTCCTGCCTGCCAGACTCCCAGGTGGCTTTAGGAGGCTTGGTACCCCCTGATCCCAGGAGGTCTGCCCATGAAATGAGGGCAAAATACAACTTGTGTTCGCTTCCAGCATCCCCGCCTGAATGGGGACACTCCTACTGTTTCGACAGGGCTGGTGGGAGGTTCAAATGGGAGGCACTGCCCCTAGAAAGAGTTGCCTCGGTTTCCCCCAAAGTGTTCCCCATCATGCTGAGGGGTGTTGTCTTTTGGTGATCAACAGTCATTCCCAGCTCCTGCCATGCTCCCCCTGAGTGGCAGGGCCGTCACTACATCTCCTAGGGGTGGTGTCACGGTGAGATCAGGAGGGCAGGAGGCAGGAAGGAGCCATTCCTCCATGGGGCAGCGGCAGCTGCTACAGGGTAGGCAGGCTCAGCATCACCCTGGGTGCCTACCCACGCCCTGTGCTGGGGGCCGGGAAACACCCTGAACAGCCACCGGTGGTAGATGAGGGTAACGGTGGAGGGTGCCAGGGCTCCAGATGGGGCCCTTCAGGACAGGCCCTTCCTTCCCAGGGAGCAGACACACCAGGACAACCAGACTGCCGGCTGCACAAAGCGAGGCAACTCCCAGCCTGAGCTAACAATTACCCAAGAGGCGTTATCTCTCTCTCTTTTTTAATGTTTATTTATTTAGGTTTTTTTCGGGGGTGGGGGGGAGGGCACTAGTGTGGGAGGGGCAGAAAGAGAGAAGGAGAGAGAATGCCAAGCAGGCTGTGTGCTGACAGCACAGAGCCCGACACGGGGCTCGATCTCACAAACCACGAGATCACGACCTGAGCTGAAGTCAGGAGTCAGACGTTTAACCGACGGAGCCGCCCAGGCGCCCCAAGAGGCATTATGTCCTGCTCCACACCCAGAAAGACCAGAAAGAGCTTGCTGCCTGCTGATTTGTCATCCTGGGCCGCAGAGGAAGGACTATAACCAGATGTCATCACAGGTGATTCAGGCCCAAAGGTGCCTTCCCGCGTGGCCTTCCTGGTGGCCCCGCACAGCCGGGTCACAGCTGCAGGCTTCGAATGTGGACAAACATACTTTGTTTACTGCCCGTGACATGCGGTATATGTTCCGTCTCCAGTCCCGCTCAGGCACGTGACAAAGTTCACAAGAAACGAGAGCTGAGGCGCCTGGGTGACTCCGTCGGCTGAGCGTCCGACTTCATCTCAGGTCATGATCTCATCGTCTGTGAGTTCGAGCCCCGCGTCAGGCTCTGCGCTGGCAGCTTAGAGCCTGGAGCCTGCTTCGGATTCCGTGTCTCCCTCTCTCTCTGCCCCGCCTCTGCTCATGCTCTCTCTCTTTCTCTCAATAATAAATAAACGTTAAAAAAAAAAAAGAAAGAAAGAAACAAGCTGATCACAAATGAGGATTACCTAATGTCATCCTAGGAAGGGCTTATGGTCACGGTCCTGGGGATTTATTACAGAGAAATGAAAACGTATGTTCCCCCAAAACCTGAATGAATATTCATAGCAGCTTTACGTATAATAGCTCAAACTGGAGTCAGCCCAGATGTCTGTCCTTAGATGTTCACACATCTAAACACTGTGGTCAACCCATCCTACAGAATACACTCAGTGACACAAAGGAGTCAACTATTGATATGCTTCGATGAGTTTCTAGGGAACTGTCCTGAGGGGGGTGGGGGGAAGCCAACCCCAAAAGACTATCTGATTCCATTTATGTAACTTATTTTGTCACGGAACCTGGTCTGGATCACCTGGCGGAAGAACCAAACAGCACCCGGAGATCTTGGAAGGCAGGAGGTTTATTTCACACCAGCGGGCTCAGAGGAGATCACTCTCCAGAGGTCTGAGTCCTGAGCGTAAGCATGGGGGACAATTTAGAGTCTGTTATTTCTGCATCCAGCATTAGTAGTAATTTGGCAGGAAGAAGAACCAGGAAGGGGAGTCTTCGGGCAGGGACAGAAATTCCCCTGTCAGTCCTGTCGGCCGTCTTAGATTCTTCCCTAACAATTTGAGATGACAAAATTTTAGAAACGCAGGAGAGGGGTTAGGGACTGAGCAGGGGTGTGGGAGGGAGGTAAGGTGGTTATAAAGGGATCTGTTCCAATCTCCAGGGTTGGAGCTGTTCGGTATCTTAACTGTAGTGGTGTTTACATGAACCCACGCATGGGACAAGATGGTATGGAACCTACATGCCCACACGAAGGAGTTCATGCAAAACAGGGGAACTCCGAATAGATATCTGAGAATCTGTGACTTTGTGCCACCTGGGGGAAATTGGGCGGCATCCAAGGATTCTCTGTATTATTTCTTACAACTGCAGGCGAATCTACAGTTATGTCAAAAATTCCAATTGATAACGGGGATGGGGAATTCACTGGAAGACTAATCTTGGAATAATAAACCTTTCACCTACAGCCTGGTAAAAAGAACCAATTAATTAATTAAGGACCTGCCCAGGGGTTAGTCTCCCCTGACCTTTAGCCAAGAATTTCCCTAGCACAGCAAGATGATGCAGGGGACAGAGGAGCTACGGGGACACTTCAGAGGCCAGGAAGGATGCCTCCCAAGGCGCTAGCTCTCCTCAGATGTAGAGGACAGCCAGGTCAGTGTGGAGGCGGCCCCAGGAAAGCTCTGCTTGAGAGGTGGGGGCTGGGCAGGGAGATGCTGGCGGCCAGGATCTTGGCCAGATGCTTGGTCCCTGGTTTTGGGGACCAACCACGTGGCTCAGGTGGTGAGGAGGCCAGAGCGCAAAACGGAGCTACCGTGGTCCACTGGGGTGGGCAGAGTTGGGAGGAAGGTTTTTCTTCTTCGAAAAAAAAAAAAATGTTTAAGGTTTATTTTTAAGAGAGAGAGAGAGAGCTCACACAAGCAAGGGAGGGGCAGAGAGAAAGGGGGACAGAGGATCCAAAGCGGGCTCTGAGCGGACAGCGTCGAGCCAGATGCGGGGCTCAAACTCAACGATCGTGACCTGAGCCGAAGTCTGTCCTGCTCAACTGACTGAGCCACCCAGGTGCCCCCCAATTTTTTTTTAATGGTGGGGGAAAAGCACAGCACAAAATTTACCATCGTAACCACTTGTAAGTGCCTGGCTCAGTAGAGTGAATGCGGGCTGTGGCTGTCGGACAGCAGCTCTCCGGGAGGTTTCCATCTTCAAAACTGAAACTCTGTTCCCACTAAACACCTCCTCCCCCGGCCTCCTCCTCCTGGGCCCTGGCAACCAGTTCTATGCATTTGACCACTTGAGATGCCTCGTCTAAGTAGAATCACACAGCGTTTGCCCTTCAGTGACTGGCCTATTTCACTTAGCATCATACCCTGAGGGCTCATCCATGTTGCAGCGTGTGACAGGATTCCCTTCCTTTTTAAGGCTGAATAATATCCCCTTACGTGGACGGACAACGTCTTGTTTATACGTTCATCTCATGATAGACACTTGAATTGCTTCCACCTTTTTGCTACTGTGAACAAGGCAGCTATGAACATGGGGGTGCAAATCTCTCTTCCAGACCTTGCTTTCAAATCTTTTGGATGTACACCCAGACGTGCGGTCGCTGTATTGTAGGAATGCTTTTGAACCGGTCTGGTCACGGAAACCTCTTTGTTCCTTATCAGATGCCATACCTGTGGGTATTCGTGGCCCATGGAGAGAAGAAACTCACCCCTGGGTCCTCTCTGCCTGTCCAAGGGAGCAGAGGTCAGCCTCACGTACACTGGGTCCCCACCCCTGCCTGCCCCACACACATGCACGCACACGCGAGAGCCCCACAAGGCTGGCCCGTAATTGGACACAGAAATGAGGTTCCACTCTGTCACCACTAGCCCCACCCTTTTCCACAGCACAAGGGACTCTGGGTCCAGTCTCCTGGGCACCCTCTGAGCCCAGCACCCTCCCCACCTGCCCACACCAGTCCTGGTCAGAAGCCAGGCCACCCCCGCGTGCCTCCTTTCCCATGTCTTGAGGCCTCACAGCCTCAGGAGGCCAAACCCAGGCCCCTGGCCCAGGCTGTGTGCCTCACACCCCACCTCCCTTAGCACCCAGAACCGAGCCTGTCCAAAGCTGGCTCTCAGAAAACACTGAACAAGTGAGGTGAACGAAGGAGCAACAGTGCTCCCACAAGTCTGTATGAGCCAAGGGTCGGGAGTGGCCCCTGTCGGGGTGCCTTTCACCCAAAGGAGATGTGCCCCCTCAACCCTACCCACCCTAGGGAGACTGCTGGGACCATCCCGTGCTGGACAGACCTGCCTTTTCCAGGACCCCGGCCTTGAGGCTTGCCAGCCACGCCCTGCCACTTGCCTTCTACCAGCGTGACTTAAAGTCACAGGGCGGGGGCGGGGTCAGCGTGGCCACCTGGGACAATGGGAGGGACATGGAGCCTTTTACAACCAGGAACAAAGTTCTCCCCTGACTTAAGCCCGGGCGGCTTGTACTGCGGCTGGTACCCACGTTCCGGCTCCCCCAGGGTCCCAGCCTCCCCGGAGTCCTGGCCTTGCAGCCCTCCCACCATCCCACAGGCATGCAGGGAGCCTGGGTGCTGCTTCTGCTGCTGGGCCTGAGGCCACAGCTGTCCCTTGGCACCATCCCAGGTAATGAGGCACCTCCCGGCTGCCCCCCATGTATAGGACACTCCCCCAAGACTGACCTGGCTTCCACTCTCCCCTTGGCCAGTTGAGGAGGAGGACCCAGCCTTCTGGAACCGCCAGGCAGCCCAAGCCCTGGATGCCGCTAAGAAGCTGAAGCCCATCCAGACGGCTGCTAAGAACCTCATTCTCTTCTTGGGGGACGGTGAGTGTTGAGGCCTGTCCACCCCCTGTGGCTCCCACAACCCTCGTCCCCAAGGCTGCCAGTGGACACAGACCAGCCCTGGGGACTCGGGCCTGACAAGGTGTGCTCCTTCAGGGATGGGGGTGCCCACGGTGACAGCCACTCGGATCCTAAAGGGGCAAATTAATAACAAACTGGGACCCGAGACGCCCCTGGCCATGGACCACTTTCCATATGTGGCTCTGTCCAAGGTAAGGGCTGGGTGGCCTCGGGGTGCTCCCCACCAGAAGGGGGCGGGTGCCCAGGAGTGCGACAGGAGGGAAGGCCCAGGAGGCTTGGGGCCGGAGTTCGGGGACCAGGGTGGTGAGGGTGGGCCCCTGGGCTTGGGTCAGGATCTCGGGTATCTGATGGAGCCAGAGGGGAGCTGAGGGTGTCTCTGTCCCCAGACATACAACGTGGACAGACAGGTGCCAGATAGCGCAGGCACAGCCACAGCCTACCTGTGCGGGGTCAAGGCCAACTACCAGACCATTGGACTGAGTGCAGCTGCCCGCTTTGACCGGTGCAACACAACACAGGGCAACGAGGTCATCTCCGTGATGTACCGGGCCAAGAAAGCAGGTGGGCTTGGGGCCGGCTTAGCGGGCAGGGGCAGGATCAGAGACCTCGGGGGCTCACCCTGAGCTCGGCCACCCTCAGGGAAGTCCGTGGGGGTGGTGACCACCACAAGAGTGCAGCACGCCTCGCCAGCCGGCACCTACGCGCACGTGGTCAACCGCAACTGGTACTCAGACGCGGACATGCCCGCCAAGGCCCGGAAGGAGGGGTGCCAGGACATCGCCCAGCAGCTCATCTCCAACGTGGACATTGATGTGAGCCGCAAAGGGCAAGCAGGGGGACGGGG